CTTGTGCATTAATCAAGGCCAATCAAAACTGTTAGTTATATACATATACATATATGCCTATACTTACCCGCTGGTTAGGTAAGCTGGTTAGTATTGCATCAGTTGGCTATTGACTTCAATGGGGCTCCCATATATTTGCTCAACATTTGCTGCAACAAATATCAAAAGCCTATGTGTTCAAATAGCTACATAATTAATTTCGGATGGAATCTTAATATCGAGTAATACGATTGCCATAAGAGCTATTTATAATCTAAATATATTACGAAGTTTTTGTCATACGGAATGTTCATTATAATATTATTATTTATATAAAAATTCAATAATAGATTATTGAATTATCTTCCTTAAGATACAGGAAAATATTGCAATTTAACTTATTATCGTGACGCCATACCTTATCCCTATCTCTATCTATATCCCTATCCTCCATAAATAACTCCTTAGTAAATAAATAATACCTTAGTACTTCTAACTAGTTTGTGATAAATACTCTTTAATAAATGTTATAATTTTGTTTGTGTGAGAGTAACGTTAATAACGACAGTGGTAAAGTTCTAGTTCCACGATAGTTTTGGTAACTTATACGAGTGAGGTTTCAAATACAGCATTTTGCTTTCAAGAAAGTCAATATCAAATCCATGTAATCTATACCAAAAAATACTTTTTTATTAAAACCGTGCTATTATTTAGCGTTATTAACTATTTTTCCTTCAAAACATTCTGAGTTTATTTCATGTTTATAAAACATCAACCACATAATAGAATTTAATTTATATATTCATTTTTTTAGAAATCAAAATTAAGTGGAAAGTAAACGATTTAAAGTCACATGGTAAAAATGTTTAATTAATTGTTTTTATTGCGTAGAACAAATAAAAGTAGTTATTAGAAATTCGTTATAGGGTTATATCTGTTAAGAAAATAATGGTTTTCTCATATTGCGACGGGATCCCTTTCTCTTCAATTATATAATTTTACGTATGATTTTGTAATTTTTAAATTTATATATTAAATAATTATTTTAATCTCTAATATATATACTATATTAAAATAAACTCATTTTACTTTAATAGGGTTTCGCGTGAGACCCCGTCTCATTTCAAATTTTAGTTACAACTCTAGCAAACCGCCGCGGCTTCGCACGGATCCAATTGTGAATCTAAACCATCCAAGATCCACTCAAACACATGAAAATCGGTCCAGCCATTTTTTCTAATTCAATGACGAATACACGTACAGAATAATTATGTATATATAAAAATTATATGCAAGACATTTTCCTTACTACGACTACTTGCTGGAACACATTCATGAAATAAGCATGAGTCAGTTGTTTTTCTTCATTCATATTTTCAAGCGCGTGGGAGGGCAGGATGTATAAGTGTCACTGTGTATTTATGTTTGACCTACTTTGAGATCAAGAATCAAGGTACCATTTAAATATTTTTATAATGTCATCTACATTTCGCAATAAATAATAAATTAATATAAACAATATAAGATAGTGAAATATAAACTTCACGAATTTCAAAATTCACGTGTAAATAAAATAATGTAGACCTATGAGATAATTTAAACATATATATCTAAAAATAAGACATTTGAAATACCTTTATAGGAAGAATATATATAATATATAAAATTATTATTATTAATATATATTTATTATAATTAATATATATAGGAAGAATTTTTAAATTAACAAAAATCTTTTGAAAATTTCAATAAAGGTACATAAAAAAATAAAGTTCTTTTAAATATGTAAACATAAATAATATAGAAAAAAGTAATCAAAAAACCACCTATAAGGTGAAATGGGCGTCAGAAGCAGATTTTTGACGCTTTATAGATGCGCAGAAAATCAATTTTTTGTCATTAAAAACTACGATTTCTCCATTTTTTAATTATTATGAAAGTTAAAGATTCTTCTTAGTGAATTATGATGGCCAAAACACGATTGAAACATTTTGGCTCGATACAAAAAAATCGCATATTTTCCTCAAAATCTACAATTTTAGGTGGGTTCATTAAGGGACAAGCAGTTTTATACGAATGCAATTAAAGCAATAAAATAAAATAAAAAAATTTAAAATAAAAGAAATTAAATGTAAGAAATTTATTTGGCTCTATATTTTTACTTATGTATATGGCCGGTGCACACACATATTCACTAAGTTATGGCAGCTATTCTCTACTACTACTACATTTTTCTGTACTTGCTAACACAAGTAAATACTATAATCTAAATCGAAGTCATAGAGTATCATAATTCCCTTTTCGGAGGCCGTAGCTATTTGGGCTTCCAACCCGGTCAGAGGGAAAATATGAAATGTATGTAGACATAAGACTATCGCATTATTCAAAAATTGTTTTACTGTTATTTATCCCAAGACATCCAGCGTCGCTAACGAACAGTGTTATTCAAGCTGAACTTATTTTTAAACTCTGAATGGGTTGAAATTACTGCCTCACTGCGTATTCGATGACGCAGGGTAATAATTCAGCATGTTATTAATTATCGTAACCTTTAATATGTTATTTGTTCAACTATTATCTAAAGCTAGTTGATTAAGACATCCCACACGAAAACGCGGACACTGCAATTTAATATTATCAAACGCCCACTCATTGTTGATAATAAAAATGTATTGTAAACGAAATAAAATTGTTACATTTACATTTACCGCGCCTTACGTAATATTGCCGCGTCTTAAAAATGTATTCTAGGAGAGTTTCCACCGTTTTTTTAAACGAAGATGGACGCCAACGCATTAACTAATTTTGGCGCAATTTTACTAGCCGTCGCTAAGATAATACAGTAAATAGTTTATTATATCTTGCCCATTATTTTTGCATTTATGTTGCAATAAATTCTCACCAATTGGGGTTTAACAGGCTTAAAAATCTGTTAAATAATGACTTATAATTAATTATTCATGATTGAAATAATGTGATCTAATCCGTCATGAGATCTTAATTCCTTATTTTTTTTGCAAGTTCGTGTGCCTTAAGAAAGTAAAAATACAACATTACTAAGTACAATACGCAAGTAACAATTATTTTATATTCAAAATGGTGCAACACTTGCTACTTATCTTTCCATAAAAAAAATCATGAAAAGGAAAGCGTTCCTGTAGCCTTATAAATACCCGGTGAAGTTTGTATACAATGGAGTTTAGAATCATGTTGACAAACGAGTACATAGTGATAAGTAGATGAAGTGGCCCAAAGGTAGACGTCTATCTATCCTCGATTGAGAACCAAAATATAGATGCGTTATCAACCCTTAGGACTAAGATGAATTGCTTCATTTCCAGTATACATACATATTTTGTGCGTGGTAGAGCCATGCTACAGCTATATCAATAGTACAGTTGTAGCATTAATGGGTCGGCTCGACCAGGGAAGGACCACGCTCTCAAAGAATACCAGCGTAAAATAGCAGCTTAACACTTCTGTGTTTCATATGGTGAGTGTAGAGAACCGGAGACCCTTTTTACTGGAGACGAGGTATTCCATCTTTGTCCTCACGGGTGACAACTCATCTGCATTTTGATTCGCAAACGAGGATAAATGGAGATGTCTATGGGCCACAGCAACCACTTACCATCAGGTGGACTGTGTGCTCGTTTGTCACCTTATCCTATTTAAAAAGAAGTATAAAATGTCCTCGGTTCTATACACAAACCAAACAAAACACAGCATTAAGCTGCTATTTTACACTTGTGTTGTATGAGTGCGTGATCCTTCCCTGGTCGAGTCAAGCTATTCATGCTACATTTAAAAATGTATCGAAGAATGAAAGGCTCGACTTCAGAAGCCATTATATGCAAATTATTTTATTCTTTTTAAGCGCCTATTACTACTTATTGAAAGTTATTTTTTTAAACTTTTTTAAGGACACTAAGGAATATCACAATCTCAATGTGGTCTCAATCGTTACCTTAAAATTAAATTTCATCCCCTATTTTGCCACTCTTCGGGATATTATTTTCTTTCCGAATGTATGTGCCCTTCTCTGATGTACCTATTTAAGAAAAGTTATCCTCAAAATCGCTTGTAGAAATATCGCCTAATAGACATACAAAAAAAAACATACATTAGAATTGTAAACCTCCTTCTTTAAAGTCGGCTAAAAGTCCGTGAAAATATTTTATTTATTTTATTTGTTGCCTGTGTCTCTAACTGTGGTCTAGAAAATCTTTCACAAGTTAATATTCCACCGCCTCTCTTCTTTGTTAGATTCCACACAATATTTTTGATGATTTTCTTCAGGTGATCTATTTGTTTAATTTATTTATCCTTTATAATCCGAATACAAAACAATAGCATCTGGTACCAATAAAGGTATTCAATAATGCCGGCAGAAAATATAAAAAAGTTCCTTTATAAAAGGTCACGATCCCCAGTATTCATTAATAAATACAATAAAAAAGCGAAAGTAGCTCTCGCGATCGCTGCCATTGCATTGTTAAAAATTGTAACAGGTGCCTTAAATAATTAAATTAAATAAAGAAATAAAAAACTAGTATTTACATAAACAATACTCATCTTGGGAACTATTGTTTCGAAAAGCTTTTCCCTTACCTTAATTGGTGTTTACGACGAACTTAAGAAGTGTCCAAGAAATAAAATTAAGTTGTAATCATTATTTAAGTCTATATTGTTTTGTTTCAGGTAGTGAATCACATGGCTCCTGCTTGTTCCATACGTAAAAATATGTTCCAGATATTATGATAACTAAGTATTGAAGAATATCGCCATATGTAAATGCGTCACGTAAAAGTAACTTGTCGTGTAAATAAGCAGATTTTATATAAGTTATACATTTATCAAAGTGTTTTTCAGATAACTACGATTTGCAATTGCTTAGAAAAGTTTTTCGTAAACAGTGTCGTAAAGTGAAATATAAAATGACGGTGATCCATTAACCGCGTCAGATACTTCCGTCGTATAGACTCATATAAATTGATTGGAAAATTACGAAAGACGCCAAAATGTCGTCGCGTACAGGACACCGCGGGACGTCCGTGGCGACTAGTCAGCGGAAATTTCGGTCTCGTTCGGCACCACGATACGACATGGAGAAGAAAGCCAAGAAGAAAGAGCTCCGGGCGTCAGGGGCCAACAGTCTTGTCTCTATACCCAACAGCATGAAACTAATGATGCTCAACAGTGGCCTCATATCTTTTGGTATGTACCTTTTATTCTCTTATGTAACTTGCAACTGGAACTGTAATGCAAAACAATTCTCAATCATTTTTTGTTTTTAAAAGGAATGTCTATTAGCCCACAGAATAAATAATAGATATCTATATATGTTATAGAATATTTAGATATAATACAGGAAATATAATTATGAAATTATTATTATCCGAGTATTATATAAAAAAAAAACAAATCAAAGTTTTGTGCATAACGCTAATAAATTATTTAAATATAATCACACAGATTGTTTTATCGCATGGCATCTCATTCTAAGAGACGAGGCTGCTCTGTCAGACTATGATTGATGACAGCTGTCAGAAATTATATTCCAAACTACGAAAGTATCTATCCTTGGAATTTTTTAACTCACATATCCTTACACGCCCTTGTTTTACGCTGTTGCAATATACTAGGTAATCCTTATTAGCTAATGAGGGCATCCACGACTTATTATGCCACCAGGGCGGCGCCACTTAAAAGTGAGGTATAATATTTGACAGATTTCATAACGGGAAAGTTAATTTGTTCGGAAAATGTAAAGGTTGATGTTTCTTTCTGTACTATTAACTATATTTGATATTAATAAGATTAAAAATAAATAAACCAAACCACAGATGTTCATACAAGTAGAAAAATTAACAATAAGTTAAAAATGTGCAAAACACTAAAGAGTATTATATTAATACACAAAACACTGAAGCATTGTTTTGTTTATTAATATAATACTCTAGAAACTGATAAACTTTTATTAAAAACTAACTTCTCAATTAAATTACATTTTGTAACAAAACTTTACCTTGTCTCACTGTGTCAACTAGTGACATCTGGTGAGCAGAAAATTATTAGCCCTAAATAGCTAAGATTTATTACCTAAGACCCAAAGTATGTTTTAAATAATAAAATGTCTATATATAAAAATCTATTGCTGTTCGTTAGTCTCGCTACTTGAAAATGGCTCGACTGATTTTGAGAATATTTTTTTGTGTGTGGTTGAGCGCTTTCGTATGTTCTATGACTTCAGTCCAACTTGTTATTGCAATCAATGTTACAAAATAAAATTGTCCGGTTTCACTAATTTGTGAGCTACAACGCGTTTTGGATGTTTTCTTTATAATTATTGTTGATTATGTTTGTTAATATTTTTGTATAAAATATTTGCATGTTATTGTGTGTACGTGTAGCCATTTTCAAAATTTTCTGACCCGAACTAATTTTCGAAATGGCTGAACCGATTGTAATAAAAGTTCACGAACAAATAGAGAGTAATAGCAGGAGTGATCTGGACTAAACTTTATCCGAAAAGTTTTGAGGTTTTATTAAAATAGAAATATGTATTGATAACATAAAATAAATGGTCTTTAATGATTATCTTAAGTCTACGCCACATTAATAAATCCCACCCAGACGAAGCCAAAGCGGGTCGATCGTTGTAAATGTTAATTTAAAGTTAATATACCTACTTGGGTATACAATTCATTTCAAATATTTTTCCATTAGTAGAAAATTTCCAATTAAGGAATAATATAACGTGATAACGATATACCGCTATTAGCGGGTTTCACTATTGATACTGTGCATGTTGATACGGGCTCGATGAGCCTCTATTTCTAATCCCATTCTGTATCCGTACGAACTGTACCTACAGTGATTTGGTGCTGAAAAAAGAGGTTACTTGGAAAGGTTTTTGGGAGTTTTTAAAATTGGCAATTGTATAGATTTTGATGAGCTCTTTTCGAATTTCTACTTTGCCACCTCGTATCTTTGCTGCTTACGTTTCCATATTGTAAAAATGACGCATTATTTTTAATAATATTTCCTTTCCGACTAATTTTACAATAAAAACGTTTGTGTAAATTACACTTAAGGTAGTAAGTGGCGCGTTTTTTTTTATCCACCGTAGGCCTAATCCACATGCAATGCACTATTCTTCAAGGTATCACTGAAAGAAAACAGTATTTAAGAACTTGCTAGAGCTTTTAATGATGATTGGGGTCGAGCGATTGTGTTGAGCGTCTCGATCAATTCATCACAACTCGTGCATGAAAAAATTGCACCAAGCACCATCCACTGAAGATTTAAAAAAAAGAGATCCGTATGCAAACGAAAAAAGCTTATTACAATATTACCTAAATTTTCTCTAGTTTAATTTATTATATAAATGTTTTTATCGTAAAATGAGTTAGAAACAAAATATTGTCAAAAAACAGTTTGTAGGCGCCATTTTTTGCGCCATATGAGGTGGTAAGTAAAATTCGGAAATATCGATCGATTTGGAAAGATACAAACGATCGAAATCTATGAAATTACCTATTTTAAAAACTCCCGAAAAACTTGACAGATAAAACTACTAAATGACTATACTGTAAAATCGTGACTTAATTACTAAAACGACGAGCTATGAGTTACATACACACTACAATGCATACCGATCTTTAAAATCGCGAGAGTAAAATGAAAGTACACACTTGAAATCTGCATGAACCTAAAATAGCCGCGTTCCACATCTAGACAGAATTTTCCATTACGCTGCACTGCGTCTGAACATAACAGTTACTTTATTAGCTATGTGATAAACAAAAATCATAAAGATGCCAGAAAATTCGAGCAATTGCTAAGTTGAACGCTGTGAGTATAAATATTTTCGCCATTTAGTTTATTTGAAAGCTCGACTTGTTATAGTAAATTGGATAAAACAACTGAAAGCGATTTAATTTTCCGTCTACATTTTGGAATAAAAACGAAGAAGTGTTATTTAGCGGACTTAATACCATGTGGCATACTCTGGCCGGCACCCTTGGGTGAGAAACATTTATTAGATGGTTGGAGAGCTGTGGATGGTAAAAGTGCTCACCTTAAAATGTAACAGTACTAGTTTGATTGTAGGACTCCTTTCCTGTCCAAGTTTTAGTCTGGGTAGGTGGTACACTCTTACCTGCCGCCAAATAGTATGCTTGCACTGTTGTGATCCGGTGTGAAGGGTAAAGAGACTGTATAATTACATTCTGTGAGTCTTTCTATCCTTGTCTTCAGAGGTGGCAATGCGTCTCTATAGCTTTCTTTATTTCTAGTTCGCTGCAGGTGTTCATGGGCTACAGTAGCCACTTACCACCATATTGACTGTAGAATCGTTCGTCACTTCCGGATTATATAAAAAGAAGTTAAGCAAGCCGAGTTCAATCCCCAACCGCACCAATAAATATTATTGATTAGATATAGTATAAATATATTGGTAAATCCAATTGGGCATACCTTAAGCGCATCTTGGATGCGCCGCCATCTTGGATTTACATTTCGACAACCCTATCGGTTTCAGCACCCTCGAAAACCATGAAAATGTCACCCATGACAAAAAAAAATTATACTACTTACTTTTAGTACGTACTACTATTATTTATTCTGTGCTTTTAATATATTGTAATAAAAAAAATCTCTTATTATTATTATAACCAAGTATTTAACTTTGGTTATTCGAATATTGTGTATTTGTACAGCGATCTTTTTGAGGCGCTGCAAACAACCGAAACAATATCCACTCACGACGGCGACTGAAGCCGAACCAATATAATGTACTCTGTGAGCCGAACTAAACTACTCTGTGGCTGTAGCTCCCCATTTACAGAAATAATTTACATACAAGGCTACCAAATCAACGAAAATTTCGCCATTTTGGAGCCGAAAAAAATTAATTATAGCTAAACAAAACAAAATTACACTGCTATTTACATTCAGTGGCTTGCCACATGATAGATGAAGAGATTAAAAAATAGATTGAGTTAAACAATTGATATTTTCAAAAGTTATCGTGTTTACAAGCCACAGGAACATGATAAATCCACACCATAAGCCACTCAAACCCTTTTTTATTTAAAAGTAGCAATTAATCGATTTAAAAAAAATATTAATAAGTTCAACAAACATTTATCTTTCTAACAATGTGCTTTTTATATCATTTATATGTATAATATGATTGCTAGATACGATTTTATTCGATAAAACGTTGGAATCTTAATTTTTAGGCGATAGTAGAACATACCTTGCGCTTTCGCTTAAGGTATGCAATAATAATTTATGTAATATTCTAATTCACTTTGTTCTCACTGGTGAAGGAAAACATCGTAAGGAAAATTGCATAGTTAAATAATTGAATATTCAAGGGCTTCTAAAGTCTTGGTAGACTTAGTATTAGGTAAGCGCGGTGTTCTCCTCTCCGCCCTAAAACCCCTTTTAAAAATGAAATAACGGCCTAGAAGTCTATTTGGTATCTGCTGTGAAGGTGGAACACCATATAGTCCGCCTACCCAGTTCTACTAGGCCTATGTTCAGCAGTGAACTTTTGATAGGCTGTTACGGAATCCAACATAACCTATCCTTGTCACCACGACGCAGATATGCGTAGGGATTCCCCATGTAAAAAAGGTTGTTACTACTATTTTTACTCGACCTCGTTTCATGAAATGAGCTTTTTTATTTCCTTCTGGCTGGACCCTTTCACCTACTTCTGCCACTAAGTCGTAGTCGTAGCATCACGTACGTATTAGAGCCATGCTGTAGCTACATTGGGGTTGCAGTACAAATGGGTCGACTCGAGCGGGGTAAGACCACGCTCTCTCAAAATACCAGCGTAAAATAGCAGCTTAATACCGCTGTGTTTCGGTATGGTGAGTGTAGAGAACCGGAGACCCTTTTTACTGGAAAAGAGACATCCATCTCAGTCCTCAGGGGTGACAACGCATCTGCATTTTGATTCTTAATTGAGGATCGACGTAGATGTCCATGGGCCACAGCATTCACTTACCATCGGGTGGTCTATGAGGTCGTTTGTTACACTTATTCTATTAAAAAAACCCATTGCCGTGTTCTATCTCATTTAGTCCTCGAGATAACATCGCATTTGTAGCCTACTTTATTGGTAGTTATTTGCAGGTGCCATGCGCAGAGTAGACACTAACTAAGTGGTATGTTAGTTCGTGTGTCACTCTAATAAA